TTGCAGGCATGAATGCAGGGTCTCTAAGAAAAAGATGTCAGTACAAATAAAGTACTGAGTATGGAAGGCAAAACTGAAATATAACAATAAGTCAACTTTAATTAAAGACATATAAGAAGCAACCTGAATCTCTGAAGTGTTGTCGTATATGCATACTTATTATACTTACATATATATATAATGCTTCTCTTTGAGACTATTTCCATTATCCATATTGTATGATGCATGACTGCCCAACAGATTAGTGGTAACTGCCTGACCAATCGTCGTACAGTGGTAAATGTATGACTGCCCGACCGGCCAAAGCTTGGTGGTAAATGAATATGCATGACTGCCCAACCAATGGTAAATAATGATACATAACTGCCCAACCGGTGGTAACAGCCCCACCAGCCTTAGCCCGATGGTAAATGCATGTCTGCCCAACCGGCAGTAGCACGGTAGTAAACATGTAACTGCCCAACCGGTCGTAGCTCGGTGGTAAATACATATGCATGAAGATGCATGTATTACTATATTATAAACATTAACATCTTTGTCATATACCTCAATAGAGACTTAGGAACATACTTAGACATGCTTGAATATCACTTTACAGGAATGAATAACATAGTCATCCTTAACTACTAAGGGTAGAAACACTTACGAAATAGCATTACGTTTATGTATTATTACTTGGATCATGCCAAAAGAAAAAAGGGATAGCCTTAACATACTTGAGCTAATTCTCTTGACAATCCCTCTAACACATGTCAATTGCAACAAATTACGTGACGGCAAGATGAGAGTAGGAAAAAATCTGTATAATATTCTTTAGAGATCGGGGAATATACAGGGTGGGAAGCAACAAATTTACTATTTACCATAAATGGATGATGGAATGATAGGCAATAACACTTCAGCTAGGCAAATATTAAGTGTTCGAGTGTTTGACTATCTCTTCGAGTAGAATTATATAACGAAAAGACTTCCATTTCTCAATTTTCAGTGTTGTTCATCTTCTCACAAAGATCAAAATTCATGTACAAAACATTTCGAGTTTTGTGACAAGTTGCCACCAAATAGACCAAAAAAAAGCAACGTTTCAAACAGTTGAACAAAGGTGAAGTGCAATAGATAAATGAAAATGAGTTTCTAACGGTTATTAGCATATTCCAAAATTTCTTCCTTCTTTATCTCTAAAACATATTTCACGTGTAATCAAAGCACCATATGTGTTATGACTCGTCATGCACATTGGTGCCACCTTGGCCTAACTTAGTGCCATATGGCACCTTAAAGAAAAAATCTTTATCCACTTAATCATATGTAATATCATAATTATCCCACAATTAATTAATTATCCACATAATTAAGAATTATCTCAAATTACTTAAAATACTACTCACTTTAACATGTTTTATATATCTTACTATCATGGTCATGTGGTACCATATAAAATTAATGCATACACTATTATTTCATTAAAAAAATCCATGTAAAAATACATATTTCTCAGTTTCTAATTTTCCTAATCTCATATAAAGAGTACAAATTTTCGTACGCTTAATTCTTAAAATGTTAAAAATATAACCTTCTTTTCTTGTGAGAAAATAATTTCTATCTTTACAATAAAGAAAATCTCATAAACTTTCTCATATTATGTTATAATTTAAAGCATATTCGAAAGTAGTAATATTAATAACTATATAAAATCATATTTTTCAAACTTTTTTTTACAATAAATGTTCCACTCAAAATAAATACCATATCAAACGTATATAACAATATCAATATTATTAAATTTACGGGGTCTTACAATAACATAGTCGCAAATCCTCTATAACCTCATGAATTGTCTTAGTCCCTCCAAGTTCATATGGATTACTACGACAAATCCTAATATTAAAGTACGGGATGTAACATCCTTCCCCTCTTTAGAAACATTCGTCCTTGAATGCTAACTCTTAGAGATTTACAAAATTTTCACTAGGTTCTGCTTTGTAAATTAAACTAAAACCCAAACTATATCTGAAGTCTCGACTATTCACAACATTTTGTACTTGAGTATCTCGTATTTTTTTCACCTTTACCTTACTTACTTTTCAATCTTGCATCGTATCTTCCATTTCTTTTATAATCTCCCTTACACATTACAACTTTAAGCTCTACTGTGATAACTGCACCTCTGGTGCATAAAAAATCTAGCGAAAGCTTCATACTAACTTCTTACGACTTAGCTCTATGGCACGATCTGGAAACAAAAGAAGGGTAACATTTCCTAAATGTCCTATAGCCTCTCAGTTATTAATGTGGCGCGCAACACTCCTATAAGTGAGACTCTACTAGGCAGGATTTTGTAGATTCCCTAGAACACGACCTGCTCTAATATCACTTTGTCATGACCCAAACCTAGGGAGGCGAGGCTGGCACCCGATGTCGCACTGGCCCGAGCGAACCATTCTATAACTCATTTTTTTTCTTCTGCAACTATCATGGGCCAACATAGCCACAATTTGTAATGTATAACTATAAGTGGAAAAATATTGTCTCAATGAATAATCGTTCTTAAAACATGAATGCATATGGGCCGTCAAGGCCTCTGACATACTGTACAAAATGAACCTCTGTCTACAAAGCCTCTAAAATTAACTGGCATCAAATGGGACAGGGTACCAGCCTACCCATAAGTCTAGCAAAACTCTGACACGATGACTCATAGACTCGGCTGCACTCCGAATGAAGTGGAGTTTAACGATCCTTCCCTGAATGTCAATCTCGTCTACTATGAGGGCTCGTCAAACTCATTGTCTATACCTGAAGGCATGAATGCAGCGTCCCTAACAAAAGGACGTTAGTACAAATAATGTACTGAGTATGGAAAGCAAAACCGAAACATAACAATGAGTTAACTTTAATTAAAGACATATAAGAATCAACCTGAATCTCTGAAGTGTCACCGTATATGCATACTTATTATACTTACATATATATATAATGCTTCTCTTTGAGACTATTTCCATTATCCATATTGTATGAGGCATGACTGCCCAACTGATCAGTGGTAACTGCCTGACCGATCATCGTACGATGGTAAATGTATGACTGCCCGACCGGCCGTAGCTCGGTGGTAAATGAATATGCATGACTACCCAACCGGTGGCAAATAATGATACATAACTGCCCAAACCGGTGGTAACTGCCCGACCAGCTTTAGCCCGATGGTAAATGCATGTCTGCCCAACCGGCCGTAGCACGGTGGTAAATATGTAACTACCCAACCGGTCGTAGCTCGGTGGTAAATGCATATGCATGAAGATGCATGTATTACTATATTATAAACGTTAACATCTTTGTCATATACCTCAATAGAGACTTAGGAACATACTTACACATGCTTGAATATCACTTTACAGGAATGAATAACATAGTCATCCTTAACTGCTAAGGGTAGAAACACTTATGAAATAGCATTACGTTTATGTATTATTACTTGGATCATGCCAAAAGAAAGAAGGGATAGCCTTAACATACTTGAGTTGATTCTCTTGATAATCCCTCTAACACACGTCAATTGCGACAAATTACGTGACGGCAAGATGGGAGTAGGAAAAAATCCATATGATATTCTTGAGAGATTGGGGAATATACAGGGTGGGAAGCAACAAATTTACTATTTACCAGAAATGCATGATGGAATGATCGGCAATAACACTTCAACTAGGCAAATATTAAGTGTTCGAGTGTTTGACTATCTGTTCGAGTAGAATTATATAACGAAAAGACTTTCATTTCTCAATTTTCAGTGTTGTTCATCTTCTCACAAAGATCAAAATCCATGTGCTAAACATTTCGAGTTTTGTGACAAGTTGCCACCAAATACCCCGAAAAAAGCAACGTTTCAAACAGTTGAGCAAAGGTGAAGTGCAATAGATAAATGAAAATGAGTTTCTAACCGTTATTAGCATTTTCCAAAATTTCTTCCTTCTTTATCTCTAAAACATATTTCATGTGTAATAAAGGCATCATATGTGTTATGACTCATCATGCACATTGCTAGCTTAGTGCCATGTGGCATCTTATAGAAAAAATCTTTATCCACTTAATCATATTTAATATTATATCTATCCCACAATTAATTAATTATCACATAATTAAGAATTATCTCAAATTAATTAAAATACTACTCACTTTAACACACTTTATATATTTTACTATCATGGTTACGTGGTACCATATAAAATCAATACATACACTATTGTTTCATTAAAAAAATCCATGTAAAAATATATATTTTTTCAATTTCTAATTTTCCTAATCTCATATAAAGAGTACAAATTTTCCTACGCTTAATTCTTAAAATGATAAAAATATAACCTTCTTTTCGTGTGAGAAAATAATTTCTATCTTTACAATAAAGAAAATCTCATAAACTTTCTCATATTATGTGTATTATTTAAAGCATATTCGAAAGTAGTAATATTAATAACTATATAAAATCATATTTTTCAAACTTTTTTTTTTACAAAAAATGTTCCACTCAAAATAAATACCATATCAAACGTATATAACGGTATCAATGTTATTAAACTTACGGGGTCTTACAATAACATAGTCGCAAACCTTCTATAACCTCATGAATTGTCTTAGTACCTCCAAGCTCATATGGATTACTACGACACATCTTAATATTAAAGTACGGGATGTAACAATACTGCTTTCTTGGCTTTCACTTTTTTCTGGACTTGTCCATTCCACCACCAGTATCATTTGTGTCCATTAGGGTGACCCTTCAAGACCCCTAGCACCTCTCTAGCGGCTTCCAAAATGCAATTCGCTGTCGAGGTCTACATATTACATGTGTCCCTACTACTCCTCTAGGCCCCTATTATTTGCAACTTCTCCCCTAATTGTAGGGCGATATCCTTAGTCAAGACTCCCTACTTGATCTTTGGTTGGCCACACGCGACCCTCTTATTCCTCCTCCTCTGAATTTCTAAGTCCATAACAAAGAGGCTATATTAGGTTACTATATTCTCGGTCGGGATAACCTTGCAATCTGAGCATAGACCTCTATTGCACCTTCTGAAGAGAAGATAATCAATGTGGCTCTTGGACACCATATTATGGAAGGTGACCAAATGCTCCTCCCTTTTGTGAAAACATGAGTTAGCTATAACTAAATCAAAAGCACTAGCAAAATCCAAAAGCGAAGTACCTCCTTCACTTCTATATCCAAAATTGAAGTCATCATGCACTTCGTCGTAACCGCTAGCAGACGCCCCAATAACGCCATTAAAATCTACACCTATGAACAGCTTGTCGGAGTGTGGGACACCTTGCAAAACCTCGTCCAAATCCTTCCATAAGTGTCTTTTAACCTCTTCGCCCAAGTCCGCAAGAGGTATATAAGCACTAATAACATGAATATGTTGCCCTCCAACGACTAGCTTAATAGTCATCAACCTACCATTCAAGCGTCTCACATTTATCACTAGCTCTCTGAGTTCCCTATCAACCAAAATACCTACCTCGTTCCTACACTTTACACCTCCTGAGTACCATAGTTTAAACTCATCTGCATCTCGAGCCTTAGTACCCACCCATCTAGTCTCCTGGACAAAGGCTATATAAATTTCCTCTTCAGGAGAATCTTAGCTAACTCATTAGATTTCTCTGTCAATGTCCTTATGTTTCAGGACCCGATTCTCAACTTAAGAGTACCTTTACCCCCTTCAGCCCTACCCGCCCCACCCGAGAACATGAAGAAAAAGTAAAATTTGAATCCGGCCTACTATTTTTAAACATTGATTTATGTACAAGAGTTCGTAATGCGAATTCGACTCTGATTTTTGTTTTTGTTTTCATCATTAAGAATGATTAATAGAAATCAGACTTTAAAGAATAGAAAACACGCTTTTGAAATTTTTTATTTAAAAATATCATAATGTTTGTTTGATTATAAAATTTATCATTAAGGATAAAATAAAATTTTAAATTATTTCAAATCTAGAAATAATTTTTTGAAATAGGCTAAAAAAGTAATGGTCACATGAATTGAAACAAAATAATTACCTTGGTTTAAGGTGAAAAAGACCCCTCCCTAGCCAACCTTTCTGCTTTTTTTTTACTTTGGCTAAAAGACATCAAACTAAATCAACAAATTGTATATTTATATCTCATTTCCAACCTAATTAAGTTTAACTTTATAAATTTTCTATATGCTTTTGTTCTAATGAAAATTAATCTATTTTAATGTACTAAATATTTATTTTTTCAAAGCACAAATGAAAAACAAATACCACTATCTTTTAAGGAATTTTTCTCTTACAAACAAGGGCGGAGGCAGCCCTTCGGCTGCGGGTTCGGCCGAACCAATTAAATTTAGTCCAAATTTTATATTTGTCTTTAAAAAATCATTGAATATGTAAAAATTCTTAAGTTAGAACCTAGTAACTTTAAAAAACTAAAATTCTGAACTCACAAGAATCAAATCCTGGCTCCGCCTCTCCTTACAAAGTGGACGTTATTGAACCTAGTAAGATAATTAGCATACATTAAGTTGACTTTTACATAAGATATCCCATTAAGAATTGGTTCTTGTCGCAGAGCTGGGTCTAAAGCGAGGATGTATGTATATATATATATATATACACACACTTAAACTTATAGGGGTCGTTTGGTAGAGTGTATAAAATAGTAGTGAATAAAGTGTATTAGTAATGCGGGTATTAGTAATGTGAGTATTAGTTATGCTAGATTATTTCTTTGTTTGGTGTAGTGTATTAAAAATGATATGCATTGTATAATTTTTTTTATAAATTATTTGTTTACAAAACTGCCCTCCACATTCTTTAGATTTGAGGGACTTCAAGGGTAATTTTATCTTTAACCATGCTTATGCGTGTATTAATAGTCTTGGTATTGCTAATTTCATAGTTTGCTATATATGTATTATTTTACATAGGATAGTATCAAATAGGGTGTATATAATTAATACATAAATTGAAAGTGTATCAAATAAAGAATTAACAGTACTAAAGCTAATACATCCTACCAGACGATCCCATATAGTTCAATTCGAAAGTAGTGAGTATACCTAATCTACTATCCACAACGTACGTCCGTCCAGGAATATAAGCACTAGAACAGATGATGATGACTAAATTATTACTATAGATAGAATGAGACGAAAGAATTAGTAATATGTTTTAATAGATAGAAACAACTAATTACATTCTAATCCGACAAGTAATGACAAGAAGCAGCAAGTAGCTTAGGCTTGATTTTAGTCACTATTCCATGTCTTGTTGCAAACGAACTTCGTACCACTGAATGGAACCCACATCTCCATCAATTTCAAGCTCACAAACAGATTTTACTAGGTATTGAACTGCATCATCAATTTCTTCAAATCTAGCAAGATCCTTTGGTAACTCATTGCCTGGCCAATTTTCTAGCCACCCTTTTAACCTCTCCCTTAATTCTTCCTCACTTACAAACTCCTCGGACTTACCAGGTTCCATTAGCACATAAGTCTCTGTCTGTATGTTTGCTCTTCTCCTTCTTGTAGCCAATGTCTGAATTAGTTTAGACACAAAAACAGTAGAATTTTCAGTTTTGGAATTATAATTCAAACTGAATACTCCCTCCTGTCCATGTTACTTGTCCTGCCAAACTAAATTTGTTCCGAAATATTTGATGTTTTAGAACAACAAGAAGTGCTTGTTTTTTTGTTGTCGGTGTGTGTGTGTTAATTCACCCTTATTCCTCGATCATAAAGTGTTAATTAAGTGATACGTTTAAAAAAGAAGATAAAGGGTGGTTTAGACAAAAATTATTATAACTAAGTCAATCAAATATCTTTCTTAAGAGTCATGCAAAAATCTTAAAAGTCAGATAATATGAACGACCGGATGTATGTTCTAAAAATAAATTCTTGTGTGAAAAAAAGTACTAAACGTCTTCCTTAAGAACCGTGCAAAGTTCATAAAAGTAGATAATATGGACCAGAGAGGTATGTACTAAATATAAACTCTTGTGAGGAATTAGAAATTAAACAAGTTGCACTGAGGTATGTACCAAGTTCTCTAATCGATTTCTAATACAACGAGGAAGACAAAGATACCTTTGTTGCATTGAGGTGAATGCTTCGAAAAGTTACACTGTGGAAAAATAAGGAATTAAACGGCTGAAAAAAAGGTTGCTGCCACCTTCTATGTAAAAATGGAAGCTGATTTTGGAGTCTCGTTGTCTCAATCCCTGCCATAAAAGGAATTAAAGCAATCAAAACATTTTGTGTTTCACCATCAATAACGCAGAAAAGAGGTGATGTGCCACTGTGTAGCTACGTATAAACAGGAAGAGGAATGAGACCGAACCCAAAGAAAGTGCTAGGTTTCGAGTGGGGTACGTACCAATACAATTGTGCGTTTTATTGCGCCACAATTGTGTCTCCATTGGAAAAGAAGCTTCTGCTTTTTCTACCGCAGTGAGTTGCAGCTATAATGTATAATAGACAAATTAAACAACATGAGTAGTTAAGCACATATCAAAAATAGTTGCATTTCTTAGATTTTGGTGATGAGTATGGTGGTGGATAAGATGATAGTTTTCAGCCTCATCTATATTCATACTGTTCTGTATTTTCCCAACCAGTGTAGTGTACAGGCTTGGGAAATTTTGGGCCTAGCATTACTCCAGGAATATAGCCCACAAACATTTGAAGCTAGAACTGGGCAGTGAAGTATACAGAAAAAAATCGAGTTGACGCTGACAAAAAAAGATTATTTGAAGTTGAAGTCAAAAAGAGTTATGAAAGTTGTAATTATATTTGGACAGTTATATTATTTTCTGAAAAGAAATTTTGCAACAACAACAACTATAACAAACCCAGTATAAGATCACACACGAGTGTGATCTGGGAAGGGTAGTGTGTGTGAAGACCTTACCCTTACCTTGAGAAGTTAGAGAGTCTATTTCCGATAGCCCCTCGGCTCAAGATAAAAAGGAAGTCCGCAAAAGTTGAAATTTGTAAATGGAACTTGGGAAAAAAGTTGTTTGAAGTTGAAATACGCTCCAAATCACTAGTTCAATTTGACATAATTATGTCAACGTGAAGTTCAAATTCTTTCCCAAAATTTGCAAACAAACCTCAACTTGTAAATGAAGTAATGATTGTTTATTTGCAAGTAAAGTTGTTGAAAAAACGAGCTCTAAATCTGCTGATGAAAAATTTCACCGTCCACATTGTTCTTTTGTGATGACGGTTAACTTTCAAGGACACTTACAATAAAAAAGCAAAAACAGAATATTTGGGTCAGATTTAATTCGGTTGGGTTGTTTAAAATTTAGTTACAGTCAAATTCAATTCGGAATAATCAGATATTGACATATTGTAACAAAAATTGGTTCTATTCAACTCAACTAGTGCCACGGGGAGTGAGAAGGAACACCGAGCTAGAGAACGACGGGGTATTGCATTTATGGACAGGCATGACCAATACGAGCGAACTAAAATGAAAGGGAAAATCAAACTGAAAATTGTTTTTTTAAGCAACAATAGAGACAGAAAAGAAAAAGTAGAACACGAATTAGTAGAAATTTAGGATATAGAACAAAATAATTACTCTACTAAAATTCAAAACGAAGACAAGAGGCCTTTTCTCAAACCAGCCACTTAGTGGCTGTCTTCTATGACAGTAACAATTTTGGGTGAACGATGATATTTATCTCTAATGACAGAACATATTTTCAGCCGGCACACTTTCGAAATCAAGATTGCCAAGGCACGACGAAATTGCATGTATGATGATAATATGCATATGTGAGTGCTATGTAATAAAAGAATAATAGTTCTTGAATGTCAATAGCCCTAAAATATTACAACACATGACCTTATAGGGGTTGATAGCACTAGGCATTTTGCAAGGAAATGCAACTCTTAGCAAAATGGTGGAGGCTGTATACACAAGACCTGCTCTCTTCAATCTTGCTTGATCTATAACTCTAGCAACTGAAACTGCACCAAAAATTGACATTTCGAGGAACTAATAGTGCTTACGTTGAGAGGTTACTTCGCCCGAGATGAGAGATCCTTGTTGATGGTATGAATGGAGCTTCCTCATCCACTGTTGAATCTGAAGAACCGTTGTTTGTACTTCTTCCCCCAAGAATAGTATTATCATCTGGCAAGTGCAGATCAGATGACTTCTTCTCCATCTTAAGCTCCTGTAAAAGGCAAAATGCAGGCAAGGTGAACTTTTAACTGAGTTAACTATACGACAACCATCCAAGGAAAATCATATGAAAGACGAATCTTTCATGATTTACAAAGACACTAACCTTCACGGACAATTAAGCAATCATGTGTCTCTTTCTTTTTACCTGCACTCACCTCGACTATTCCACTGGTCCATCAAGCCTTAGGCAGATTTGAAGAATCAACTAATGTTTTTGTCTATACATGGAATTTAAACACTGGTCTCTGATGGTTTTCACCCATTGAACGCTAGAGCACACTTAGATGCATGTGACTTAATAAGATATATTCCTTTTCAGTTTTATTTTTTGACTATGACGAGCACAAAGCAAATTAGATTACTTATAATAGTACGGGAAACAGAAATTGGATAGGCAGAAGATGTAAAATATGCTTATTCATTGCTTGCATTAAGTGTTTATAAGAATCTTTTGCTTATGAAAATTAAAATGTAGCTTTTCTCTAAGCAAACTCTATAGCTTAACCTTAAACATATTATTATGATAATTGTTTTGTATTTTGAATTTGATGATGATAACAAGAACACCAGCCCTCCAAGAAACAAAAAGAAGCATGCAAATACACTTATGTTCCTCTTGGGAAATTTGGAAACACCCGGTAAAACAATGAACAAAAAAGTTGTAATATATAAACTGAAAAAGAAGCAATAGTCTGGAAGTCATTCTTGAGACTTCACGAAATCTGACCTTAGCTGTTCGGTCTATAATACTATCTACAGGAAGCTGGGATGCTCGAACGTCCTTGATTTTCAAGTAGTTATACATCACGACACCACATAATGCTAAAACAAAAACAAAAAAAAATCATCAATATGCCATTCTTTTCCTTTTAATAAGTATCAATATGTTGTTTCTTAGCATAAAGTTCCCACAAATAAGGAATATTAAGCTTACCTACTGCATAGCCTGTAATGTTAAGTGTGGTTATCGTCGACTCCGGAAAAAGTAAAGTTGAAAGCGCAATTAATATCCAATCCTTCAGCACACCAGCCACTCGGATGGTTACAGCACCAGTTCTACCAATCACCAAGAAAATTGAGAAATTCAAAGCAAGTGCACATAGTGCATTTGAAAAGAAAATCCAAAAATTGAATTGAATCTGTGAGACTTCCATTTCAGGCTTCTCCAGAAGATACCATGGGACGAAAAGAAAGATGAAGCTGTGCATATTAAAACAAAAATTGATAAGTACCTCAAGAAACAGGAAAATATCACATACATGAGACTCTACACAACAGAAGAATGACATTTAATTTACAAAAATTACTCTCAACCATGCACACAGAGAGAGAGTTTGCCTTTGAAGCCAGTAGTTTATAGAAGCTACACCTCACTTTGGAGAAAATGTAAGCAAATATGTAAAACAGTCATTGCATCCTGCATGTCAGAGGATATAGACATGCATACCCCTTCTATATCTATGTACCAAGAAACCATTCATACAATTGCTAACATGATTTTCCACAAAAGAACTAGCAAGTATATACCCATATTGTCATCAACTGCACATTTTTTGATTTCATCAAAGCCAAGACATAGGCATGGCTTGCAGGAAAGATATATACACAGGACTACATCTTAACCGGAAATTTAAAGATAACATCTCTTGTTTCTTAGAAGTATACTAAACAAGCAACAGTATAAGAAAAATAACCTTATTGTAATTTGCAAGCCTATCCATCACAAAGGATGAGTTCTAAAGTAAATACAGCAACTGGAAACCATATCCTTTTAAAATAAATCAAGAGAATATTAGCTGCAATATTTCATCATAAAATATGTCCTTTATGTACAATCCCATGTTAGATAATGCAAATACAAAAGCAGAATAGTAAAGTTAGGAGGACTACAATGTAGAGTGACATGGTCTCCCAGAAGCAGCATGCACACATGCTGTTAGGACCAGAGACATATGTGGATTTTAACTTTTACCTCGTTTAGAACAGGTGTTCGTGAACACGTAAATGTACTTTGTCAACACAGCAGCAAAGTTAATCATAAAATACTTCAACTTTCTATACACCGTGTACTACCAACCGTAATGGAAGACCTTTCAACTTTAGCTACAACTGTTTATGCAATTCGTGACAAATGAATAATCCAATACAACTTTGAAGTTTCAACATCTTCTGTATATCTGATCTTATTGAAGACCTAAAAAATAAGTAATACTCCCTCCTTCTCATTTTACGTGAACCTATTTGACTGGACAAGAGGTTTAAGAAAGAAAGAAAGACTTTTCACAACTTGTAGCAACATGCCATCAATTCGTGTGGCTATTAAATCATGTCATTAAGGATAAAATGGAAAGTTAAAGTTAAATTGTTTCCAAACATCGAAACATGTCATTCTTTTTGGAATAGACTAAAAAGAAAATAGTGCCACATAAAATGGAATAGAGGGAGTAATGTATAGAAGTACCCCTTCTCTAACACCTAAAGCTTATATAGATAATGTGATACACACATTTCAACAGATTTTAGGTGCAGTAAGATGATATTAATGTATCAGGAGTTACTGTAGTCAGAAGTAATCAAAAGGAAAAGTTGCTCTTAACTCCTCCTATCCTTCCCCCCCCCCCCCCCTATTCCTAGGGTGTGGTGAGCAAGGGTAAGGCTTGGAATCACTGACAGCAAAATTCTAATTGGAATCATATAGACCTGAACAAAAACACCAGTTTGACCAAATGAGAACAGATAAGTCAACCTTACAAGACTAAAGAAAAATACCTGCATGGAGCTATGTAATATAAACTGGTGATAGGATTGAGAGTTAATCCCTTCTTCTGAAGAAGAACTTGAGTTAACACCAGCCTAAGAGCCTCAGCAAATATCCCAGTCACCTGGTAAACTGTACCCACTATGTTGAAGTGAATTTCCCCATAGGAGGATATTACAACACCAACACTGACCAACAACATGTTCAAGAATACATCGCATCTTAGTTTGTCGGTTCCACAAATAACAGCCATGACAAAGGTGGCCACCGGCACTGTCATTTCAATATAGAAAAAGCTACAGCCATTCAGTAGATTCCCAAGCACAGGAATTCACAACTAGAAAAGAGTGAAGTATATGGACATACTCAGAGCTTTGAGCATCTGGATGAAGGCCACAGAAATGAATAGATAAGCAGTGTTGCCAAACCTGCAAGCACAACATATGCTTTTTTCAGAGACAAAAAATTTGGACATCATAGCCTCAACTCACTAGCTATGACAGAAACCGTATGCAACTAAAATTCTCCATGAGAAATTAAGAACCTAGCAGTGTTGTCAAAGGCTCATTTAAAGCGCGCTTAAGCCTTGAAGCTCAGAAAAGCTCGAGGAGGGCGCTTCACCTTGCTTAACCTGCGC